GTTCGACGACCGTCTGAAATTACGTCACCGGGATTTGTCGTGGTGCCGCTTCTTCGTGCCCCTTGCTTCCTTTTTTTCTTCTCCTCGCGTGAATTTGTTCGTTCCTCGCGTGAATTTTGTTTAAAACGCGCGGCGCTGATGCGTCGTTATATAGGGATCTCTCGTAAAACTCGTGACCATGGATATTTTTCTTTTTCTCTTTTTTTTTTTTTCTCTCCCTTCTTCGAGGAGAACAGAAGGGTTTTATATGTAATGGAGAGAGAGAGATAGGGAAGGAAGGAAGCTACGACAACGAGATCGAGTTCATTCATAAATCGTTAAGGCTGATTCCCCGATTCGGAGGGGAAGAGCGGGATGCTCGAGTTTTAAGTCGCCGAGATTTTAAGATAACGGGATTCCATGTGGCCTGGCGGGATCAAACATCGTGGGGGAAAAACGAGACTTTCTCGTGATGATGTCCCGACCATAAATACCGGTGGATTTAGGCTACGAGATTTGAATACGGGATGCATTTGTTCGGGGCGGTATGCGACATATTTTTCTTTCTTTTAAGGTCAGATCGAGAGAGCCGAGGCAAAGCGGTGGTGACGATGGTGGAGTTGGACGAGCGAAGCTCCGTTCGATTCGAATCTCGATTTTCACGAGTCGAAGACGAGGAGATCGAGGAGAAATAAATCGATGGGACGGAGGAGCGTTCGATTACTCGAACGGTAAGCTGCTAAAGTGAAGCTTGCACGACCACGTTTTATTTTACCGTCAGACGATCGGTAATGAAGCAATAATTCCGCGATAAAAGGGACGAAGAAGAATTACGGTATGCGTGTGTACGCGCGTGTGTGTGTGTGTATATATAAAGGCGGTGGAATCGATGGCGATGGGGGGAAAAAAAGCGTCAATCTCATCGTACGATCTTTCTTGATCTCTCTCGAGATGAGCACACGGGAACAAGTGGTACGAACGACGAGGTAAAAGGATGTGCAGGCCCAATTACCAGAGTTCGGCCCCTTTTTTGCCTCTCGAAAAATCTCGGATCCATTTCGGATCGTGGGGCATAGGGCCAACCTCCGTGCATCCCTCCCGGCCCTTCAGGAATTTACTTTGTCGTTGGACTCGCGAGTTGAATTCCTGACAACGGAAAGAATTCTCGTCTCCCTCCACCAACAATTGGTCGCCGGTATTTCCAGGAGGAGATCAACTTTTCGTTCCCCACCGATGCATTTCAATCTCGATCCCACACCGACCTTTTCTTATTCTACCCTCGGTTTCCTCTTTATCCATTTCTTCGTCCTCTTTTCTCCGACCAATCTCTCTCTTTCTCTTCTTTCCATCGCTTCTTTATTCTCGCCCCCCTTCCCCCTCCCTTTCTTCTTTCCATCTCTTTACAATTCCACTTCCAAGAAGCAACGTGGATTTAAGCAACGATTATTCCAGGTTTAATTTGTCAAAGTTGGCACGGGGGAGGGAAAAAGAAAAAAAGAAAAAAGGAAAGAGAAGAAAGGTCTCGAAGGATCATAGAACGCAACAATCGATGACACTATCGAGTTCAAATTAGCTTAAAGATACGATAGGCGAGCGAAAATTAGAGCTCTCGGCTCGGATTCTTGTTGAATCACCCTGTACGTGGCGAGAAGGGTAGGCGTTCGACTACAAGGCGTCCGGCCGCCCATCTCATTTCCACGAGCGGAGATTTGAATGACCGAGTAGGATACGACAGGGACGGACGCTTAATCCGAACGTTTAAAGATTTACAGATCGCGCGCAATCACTTGCGCCCCTCCCCTCCTTTTATCTCAAACTCGACGATCTTTCTCCACGAGATCTCTTATAATCCCTTATTATCTCTTATAACCGCCGAAAACATCAACGTTCGAATTCGATATTCGTTTACTTTTTCTCCCTCGTTCCATCATAATTTTTCTTCGCGATCCGTAACTCTTCCATAACTGTCTCGCAAACGCGATTTAACGAGACTTGCAGATGTAAATGAAGGAATAATTGGGGAGAGGGGAAGGGGGAGAGCGCGTGGAAAGAGACGGTGGAAAGAGAAGGATCGAGATAAATACGGCCCTGGCCGGGTCGCAGCCAGAAGTCGAAAGCTCTTTGTTGCTGCGCCACCTTCTCTTCTCGCCTCTAGGTCCGTGTCGGTGGCATGGAGGACCTCCGCTCCACCTCCTTCTCCACCTTCCTCCCAGTCCCGTTCCTTCGATTTGCTCGTGTCGTCGAGGGGCGAGGGACGAAGACAGGCTGGCGGTGGCCGTAGGCGAGACGGAGCGAGGCCGAGGAGCGGAGGCGGAAAGAGACGGGAGAGGGTCCTGCGCCCAGCCGCGAGATTAATTTGATTTTCAACCAAATTTGACGCGCCCCCAAGCCTAGGCGGCCGGCCACAAAGAGAGCCACGGGATCAGCCGTGTGTGCACGCCACGGACGCCAGATATCCGCTCGCCTCTTCCCGCGGGACCTTTTAAAAAGCACGGGGATTAAAAACCCGAGTTCGACCCGAGCTTAACACCTACGAGAACGAGCCGGCCCGCGGACGTGACGTGCCGCGTTTCCAGGAAGCTTCTAATAGAAATTCATATTTCATATTCGGACTTTCTCTCCTCCGGCCGGAGAGAAGAAGAATTATGGTTCGGCAAACGAACCGAAGCGAACCGAACGCTTCGACTTGTCCAATCGAGAATATATGTACACACACACGCATACACATATGTGTATCGTTATTAAATAATCCGTGAGATTTCGTTGCTCGAAGCCCGTCGAAAATTGTGAAAATTTGAAAATGCGAAGAGAGAGAGAGAAGAAGAGAGCGCGATCGAACCAAAGTTCGTACGGCCCTGACGCTCGAGGCACGCGAGATATTTTCATGATCTCTTTGCCGATGTGCCACCGCGTTGGTACTTAGACCGAGGCGAGGGAAAGAGAGTAAGCAGAGGAAGGGAAAGAGAGAAAGAGGAACGCTAGGAGTAAAATGGTTCGAGTCGTTCGACCAATGGTAACGTCGAGGAATAGAGGTAGTATAGAGGAAGGTCGGAGAAACGGACTCACGGTATCAAAGGACTAGAGCTGCTGCTACTACTACTCGTACTCCTCGCAACGATCGCCAACGTGCCTTCGTCTCGAGCCATACCCATAAGTGGAAGAATGACTCGCTCGGTATCGCTCGAGTCGGCGTTTCTTATTTCTTTTCTATTCTCTATTTTCTATTTCTCTCCCGTTCGCACGGAGAGCGAAGAGTGGATAGATACGCACGCGCAGACGCCCCCCTCTCCCCTCCCCCTCGTACGATCGTACGTTTTCTTACCGTGAAATCTTCCATCGGCCAAGGTCGATCGAAAGATCGAATACGCGATGGATCGGCGTATAATTTTCGCGATACGCGCTTCTTCCATTTTAACGAGAAATCCCTGTCTATCTGCCGATTCGGTCTAGCCCCAATTTCGCATTTTGCGACCGTCCTTTTCTCCTCTTTTTTCCCCTCGCGATACGGTGCCGTGGCCGAGAACTAATAGGGAGGGCCGGCAGGATGAGGGTTCGGAAGGGGAGGGAAATAAAAAAGGGGGGAGAGGGCGGGGGGCGCAGAACGCGCCAAAAGCGAGAGGGGGCGAGAGGAAGGCGGGCGAGATGGAGCGAGAGAAAGGATGGAGGAGGGTCGGAAGAAAAAGAAAAGAAATAAGTTTGCCAACAGCACCGGAGGAAGCCCCGAAAACACGCTGGACGTGTGGCGCCATCTCGGCTCCTTTTTTTTCTTCCTCCTTCTCCGCCACTCGCCGCGCACACCCCCCGATGCTTGTTCCTCGTGCTTTTGTTACCTCGCCCATACTAATTCTTCGCGAGCTGCACGGCGTGCCCGGAGTGCGTGGGGAGAAATCGGCGAGAGAGGGGGAACGGGCCCCGAGCATCGAGGTGGAAGGGGGGCCCCTGTGCATCGACCAGTGTCGGATTAAGCTGCTTTCGCACCCTCTTCGTACCTTCGATTAGATCGCAATTTTAAGCTCGCCGAAATTTCGACACACGCCCGTCGCGGTTCCTCGCTTTCCAACTCTCGATCGAGCGTTGCCAACCGTTGTCCGCC